TCCGGCTTTTGTCTTTGTAACAACAACTCGAACTTACGATCTTGTTTTATAGCGCTTAGTTCCCTGGTACGTTGAGCTTGTAAGTATGTAACACGATCGCAAATATCAAAGTCACTTGTCGAAAGAGTTTCACTGCACTTCAGATAGATTTCGTATAATTCACACTGACTTTTGTCCAAGTGGTACCTACAGTTACGAATCGATTTTCGCAATAGTTTTACATTCGCGTTTCGTAGAATACTCGGGGAACCATGAATGTCTGGTCGTGGTTTTATCCTAACGCATATAGGGATAATGTCCGAATCACGACACTTCACCAGGAAAGACAGTGATTCCTTCAAACACTCACACTTTTTCCGCGCGCGTTCTAGGTGTTTTATCAATTGAGACGTATCCGGCCCGTACCGGTTAACAATATTTTGTTTTAAACTTTCATGGTCAGTAACATTATAGTAATATAAGTTATTTACGGGATTGTTACCATGTACCTTGTTTTTAGCGAGTTTCAAGAACAGTTAGAGCATGTACGACGAGTCTTACAGAGTAATGGATACCAGGGACATTTACCATCAAGACACAAACTAAGACACCAGAGACACAGAGTAGACAGACAACCTGTTTATTTACCATACGTCAAAGGAGTGACTGACAAGATCTCAAACATACTGAATAAGTACTCACTAAACACTGTCTTCACTCCTGTGCGAAAGGTTTCACAATACCTACGGTCTCCTAAAGACAACTTCCCCTTGGAGAAACCTGGTGTCTATAAGATCGATTGCAGCTGTGGCAGTTCGTACATTGGCAAAACAAAGCGAACAGTATCTTGCCGAATGAGGGAACACATAAAAGCAATCAAGAACAACGATACGCAGAAGTCAGCCATCGCGGAACATTTGATTGATTCTGGTTCTAACCACTGGATTGAGTTTCATAACCCACAGATTATCTCGACAGAACGCAACTACATACCAAGATTGGTCAGGGAAGCGATTGAAATAACAAAACAAAAATTTCAATCGTGAGGACGGGTTTAAATTGTCGAGTGTCTGGAATCCTGTGGTTCGTATGTGTAAAACCGGAAATAATCAAAAAAGTCTCGTGTCGCGATCCGATACTGTAAGTGTTGTGTGTCGAGAACAGTTTCGAGTGAATAGTGAGAATGTGAACAGTGGTACGGGTATCGAACGCAATAAAAGACTTCGTCGGAGGGTAGACCGATATGTCTGCCAATAACAGCCTACCCGCAATTACTTCAGTTACTCCGTGATCATGGCGCTTGCAACAGTGCCGAAATATCGGAAACTCGCTAAAAACAAGGTACATGGTAACAATCCCGCAAATAACTTATATTACTATAACGTAATATTAATGTCTTCGTTGAGATTGCTTTACATTGCCCTTGGGAGAAGCATAGTAGAGTTTGTCTATAAAGTCGTGACATTAAATGATGGCGCCACTAGTATACATGTAGCAACCCTGTACAGTCGAACCAAAATGATTTTGATACTAGCAGTTCATTCAAGTAAAATAGGTAATTAATAAGACACACTATACAGTCGTATTTTGTTTCTGTTTTATATAGTAGGTACCTATGCTTATAAAAAGTTTAGTCAAGCATATTTAATTGAATCAGAATAAAATTATTATAGAAAAAATAGTACTTTATAGTGTAATGTTGGTTAATCACCAACCACTGAAGTGCCATTGAGACCAGAGCCGTTAGGTAATCATCAATACACATAAGTATCATCATACGACGTTTTTTAACACACTTGTTAAGAAAATAATACTAAAAATCATTTTATAGTATATAAAAAGTTTATTTAGAGAAACAATTTTGTAAATGTGCAGTTAGTAAAATTAGTGATTGATATCTTTACTAAAAGCATCTGGCCATGGTTCTTTATGTGACCATTTCTTGCTTTGGTCAGCCTTGCCCGTTTTCCCAGGAGTTTCAAACTTTCCATCATTCTTAAAACCTTCGTTGACTATCCGACTCTCTGATTTTTCTGAAAAAAAAGTAATAAAATATGTAACGGAATAGAAACAATAACTTATTAATATGAAGCAATTAATTCAAATATTGGTAGAAAACCTGACTTGAGTTGAATCTTAATAACGTATCAAAAGAAATGGTCGTACTACAATATTACCTATTTACAATGTCAATCTAGCCTAAAAATGTGCAATGTAAACAATGCCTTTTTTGGTCTCAAAATCGTAAATTGAGTAAATTTGTAACTTCAGGCAGATTACAAACAAATAGTTACACGATTACATACCCGTCATAGATGCTGTGCTGCTTTATCTTTATCTACCTATGTTCCCCTTCCTACTCACCTGTTATTCCTTGATGTTCGTACATCTCCCTTTATTTTTATTGTTTATATCGTTTCCTACTTTTAACCATCTGCAACCACCATATATCCAAATATCAACTATCCATATTCCGTTCCTTAAATCGATTAAGATTAATCGATGTGCTACCCAATTACATCAAAAAAAAAAATGCTTGAATATGGCACAGACTAATCAGGGTTCCCAACTTAGGGTACGGCCAGAGTGCACTCAGATTCAGATTTAGACTCAGAAAACTAGCGCGAGAAATATAGGGTGCGGCCAGAGTGCACTCAGATTCAGATTCAGATTCAGATTCTGAAAACAAGCGCGAGAAATAAACAGTGTAGTCGAAGGGTACGGCCAGAGTGCACTCCTGATTCAGATTCAGACTCAGAAAACAAAGCGCGAGAAAAAGCAGGCAACCTGCTTAGACTACACTGTTTTTTTCTCGCGCTTGTTTTCGAAATCTGAATCTGAATCTGAATCTGAGTGCACTCTGGCCGTACCCGTAGTCAGTGGCGGACTAAGCCCGTTAGAGGCCCGGGGCGGCAAAGCTGAATTAGGCTTTAAGAAAATATAGTTTCTTATGTTTGTTTCGTTGTAATCTAGCAAGTGAAATTTAAATTCGAATTAAATTATTTCGGCTAAATAAACATACATACCTAAAATATGGTACATATTGACTAGAAACGTAGGTGCACATTGACTAGAAACTACGGATTATAATTTGTAGCCTAATTTATTCGAAGAATTAGGTACTTACTTTGTCCAAAAACTCGAAAATGCATTTTCTCAACTCTGAACTCATTTACTTTTATACCGTAACAAACTATTATTGAATGTTGTGATATGTTAATTATTATTATGTGAATTATTTGCACTTCATTCATTCAGGGATTCCTGAGGAAGTATCCGCTACAAAAACGGGAATCCCTCCAGCGTATTGGACGCGTTCAGTTAAAAGAATATTAGTACCGCGTAAAAAGACTAGATGGCTGTAGTGTTTTGATCTTGATGAAATTATACCTACATACTACTAAGTACATTTTTAAAGTCTTGTTTAGCATTTGATCAGGGGAACGCGGAGGTATTTGGGGGCCCCCAAGATCCGAGGCCCGGGGCGGGCCGCCCCTTCAGCCCCCCTGTTAGTCCGCCACTGAGTGTAGTTTAAGCAGGTTGCCTGCGGCCACTATGGCCACCCTGCTTTAACTACACTGTTTATTTCTCGCGCTTGTTTTCGGAATCTGAATCTGAATCTGAGTGCACTCTGGCCGTACCCTTAGGGGTGTTGCCCCCAGATTTAGGGGATAGAAGTGTTAAAAGTGATTTTTTTAGGGGCTGGAATTTTTTGGGGGTTCTTTTAGGGGCTTTTAGCAAAAATTTAAATTAAATCGATAAACAAAGCGTGTGTTTTCTTTCAGTTTTGTGCGAATAATGGAACGCAGCACGATATGAAACGACTGAACTCACTGTGTGGCAGGTTGTTTCCTAAGGCTGTATGGACTAAAGTTCTTTGCCTTCCACCAATCAAAACAGCTAAATAAGATTTAACCGCCTGTCAGCTCATTTTCGTTTGATTTTCCATGTTTTTTTTTGGCGGGATTTCATCGAGTGCGGTTGGCGTCTTATTTTAATTATTCTTAAATTTGTTCATAGTGGATATTGTGAAATAAAATTGGTGTGATTTTGTGTTACAACAGTCTGCGCAACTGATGAATTAGTGGAATCTTTAAAATATACGCTATTCCGGTCAAGTGGACGTGAGAATTTTATTGTAGTATTGACTACCACACAGAAGCTTATCAAAAAAGCCAACTCGATATATTTCGTGCCAAACACTCCAAGAAGCATTAGAATGCGTCACACTCACATTCTAATGTAAAAAAAGGAAGATTAATACAAAAATAAGACGATGGCTGCATGGCTATGCCTTTGCCTTTCTCAATAGAGAAGAATCGAACTAAAAAAAATGATTTTCCATTCGGAAAATGTATCTATTCAATAAAATAATTTACTGTAAAAGAATATGTAACGTTTGTAATTTATGAGCAATGAAAGAATTTAGGTAATAAGATAAGTAGGTACGTATAATTTTCTATATTTAGGGGATTTTAGGGGAATTTAAAAAATACTTAGGGTAAAATTATGGTAAGGGTTGGTAACACTGAGACTAATATGAGAACATATTGCCAATAAATAAAAAAAATATGAGAACGTAGGAGTTTTTGGCGGGATTTGATCGAGTGTGGTTGGCGTCTTATTTTAATTATTCTCAAATTCGTTCAGAGTGGATATTGTGAAATAAAATTGGTGTGATTTTGTGTTACAACTGTCTGCGTAACTGAAGAATTAGTAGAATCGTCAAAATATACGCTATTCCGATCAAGTGGACGTGAGAATTTTATTGTAGTATTGACTACCTCACAGAAGCTTATCGAAAAAGCCAGCTTGATACATTTCGTGCCAAACACACCAAGAAACATTAGAATGCGGCACACCGACATTCTAATGTAAAAAGGAAAACAGATTAATTTAACTTAGGACAAGGCTGTATGGGCATTGTTCCCCTTGCCATCCCTGAAAAGGGAGAATTTAACAAAAAAAAATTTGAACTTATGGCAAATGGACATTAGCTGTCATGTCTTATTAAATGAAGAAGAAAATCAAATCAGGGCTGTAAAATAATTTAGTTTTAATTAATATTACACTGAATATATTTTTTTGTAAGTTTAAATATATACAATGAGTACTCCTAATCCTGCCCCTCACATTGATCGTGAGTTAGACTTATCAAATACGGGTAGAGGTGTGTGGTTAGTAAAGGTTCCCAAATATATAGCAAATAAATGGGACAAAGCACCTGGTAATATAGAAGTTGGTAAGCTGAAAATATCCCGTGTACCCGGGCAAAGAGCCCAAGTTCAGCTGTCACTGTCCGAAGCAGTTTTATGCCTGAAGGATCCTGGTGAACAGAACATTCCCAAGGAGCATCGTCTTGACGTGTCAAACGAGACTAGACAATCTTTGGGAGTATTTTCTCATGTTGTGCGTAAGTATATTTTGAGGATGAAACATAGCGTTGTATAATTTGAAAGTGTTTTTTGCCTATTCTACATTTTCAGTAGTACATCTTTTTATATTTGTGCCAAATAATGGTCTCAAACAGAGACGTTAATTCAATTAAAAAACAATTAACTTAATTGTTTTTAAATTTGAATTATTTTAATGATTTCAACAACTACTATTCATATAGTTGAGTTATAATTGAACATGTCACAAGAATGTCTCTGAGCTGCCTTAATGCTATGTATGACCTGGACTAAAGTACTGTTTTTTTTCAGCATCTAATACAGACTCAGTTATACCAGAATCAGAAAAGCTATATATGGAAGGAAGAATAGTTCAAAAGTTAGAATGTAGGCCTTATGCTGATACCACTTACTATAAATTGAAATCAGAATCCATAAGAAAAGCATCTATGCCACAAAGGCAGGTGCAGCAATTAGAGAGAATTGTACAAAACTTCAAACCTGTCTCTGATCACAAACATAATGTGAGTGTTTATTTCATTAACCTTTCTCTACTACAATTATGGGTTAAATTAGGGTATAATATGTACATTAGGGTGTTTCATTATGCTAGACAAAAAAAATAACTTATTTTTTTTGCGGGCTTCACTCACCTCCCCGAGTCTCAATGATATAAAATTATCCATGCCAAATTTCAAGAAGATTCGAAAAATTTTACAGAATAACTATATTTAAAAATTTTATTAAAAATACATATAATAAACATAAATTCTAATTAAAATATAAATTAAAATAAACGGGCGTCACAGTCGTGCTGTATATTAACCAACATTGTACCGCAAAAATTCCTTCTGTCAGCCACTTGGTTACTTTTTTCTGTTATGTTACGTTTTAGTTCAAAGAAATTCCTCTTTTTGCATGATCATTGATAACCTTAAGAGCATACACATACTTTTTCATTGTATCATCAGAGTATTCAGTCATGTCACATATAACAATCAATCTAGAACGAAAAGTCAGGTCAGTTCAATTCCTTCACAAGTTAGGTTTTTGTCCCCGTTCCTTTTAATTTTATTAGCATGTTAAATATTTTATCATTTTTCTTGACATCCTGAACACGTTTAGCTAACGGCAATCCTATGTTTGTTTCTCTCTGTCAAATATCAATGTAAGGTGTTTTATTGTTGGGCAACTGCAACATTTTGTTTGATGTTGGTAGGGGTAGGTGCTCAAAAGCTATATAGCATTTCCAGATAATTCTTTTCATGACAATGTTTTGAGATAGTGAGGATTTTCTAGATTAGATGGTAGGGATAAATTTTAGATTAAAATCTCGCTTTTTTATATCAAAACGGTTGTTTCATTTGTTTAATAATTACACCTCCATTTTAGTACTCTAAACATACATTATTACAAAACAAGAATACTAACACATTTCACTACTGCGAGAAAAAAGTGGCCAACATGTGCAACCTTTAAATATTCTTTAATATTCATGAAATTTGGCCTATATGTCTTTAGTACCAATGAGACTCCAGGGAAAATCGACTTCACATGAAAATCAAAGTTTTGGAAAAATGAAACACCCTAATGTATGTATAATGTTTTTTTTGTTTCAGATTGAATATCAAGAAAGGAAGAAAGCAGAAGGCAAGAAAGCTCGTGATGACAAAGATGCAGTGCTCAATATGTTGTTTGCTGCATTTGAGAAACATCAGTATTATAACATCAAAGATTTGCAAAAGGTAAAGCTTTTGTAAGTAATGTAATGATTACTGAGCATTAAGACCTGAACTCAATAACTGGATGATGGCATTTTCTATGTCATTTTGTATTATAAAATATATATTATTTTTATTTAAATGCTATTGTTTTTGTGTGTTAATAACTAATTCTACAATATCTTGTCAATCAATTATTTGCTAATAACACTATTTTTGTTTTCAGATTACAAGACAACCTATTGTATATTTAAAGGAAATTCTCAAAGAAGTCTGTAATTACAATCTTAAAAATCCACATAAAAATATGTGGGAATTAAAGCCAGAATACAGGCATTACAAACAGGATGCGCCTGCTGAAACTAAAGAAGACAAGCAAAGTTCAGATAGTGACTAATGATAAACTTGTTGACAGTGGTTTTTCTAAATTTATAGAATTGTATATATACATTACATGTTAAAAGACTGTCTATTATAGTTATATATGCAGACTTAAAATAAATATTTTGTAAAATTTAATATGGATTTAATTATTAAGGATACACTGTTTGGTTATAAGATTCCTGTTGTGGTGTGAGTTATGCCTCTTCCTTCCTATTCCATTGACGATGATGATAAATTTTATAATAAAATAAACGCATTTTTTTAAATAATTTATTTCAAGTATTTGGCAATAAATTTATCATAAAACAACAGCTAAGTATAATAATATTGACAAACATTTAAGAATTTAGTGTAGACAGACATTTATTAATCTCAGTCACTACTCTCATCTAGTTATGACTACATTAATTTCAATTACAATAACTTACTTTTTGAAAGAATTTTCGCTGGGCGAGAGTACTGATTATTACTTTTTTATACTAGTTAATAATATTTAAATTAAAACATTTAGAGAAACAGATATTTTTAAAATCAGTCACAAAGTTTTTGATAGAATTGAGCACATTCTAACATTATTGTTTTGATTTATTTTTAATTGGAATGCGGCCTGTACGCCAAATCCAATATTTCATAATCTTTAGCTCATAACGTCATATTTAGATTTTTTTATATAGCTTGCCAAATAACAGGACAGGATGGTACCAATCCAAGGTAACAAGATTATGCCTATCGCTATTCCAAAAAGAAGGTCCATGTTGCTTTCCATATATTCCACAATCACATCATAGCATCCCTGAAACCAGACAAATGTACAAATATCAATGTGAATCATGGGCGTCCAGGCAGGAAAGAAAGTACCTAACATGGAAAATATTACATATGTTTTACCCAAATACACCAGCGGGATGGTAACCTCATGGAAACAAAATATACTAATTTCAAAATATGAGAATTTATATTACCTTTTAATATCAATATCGATAAAAATATCAGATTTGATTGGGGTCCCGCCACTGACTCCATGGCAGCTTTTAATAACTGCTCTGGCCTATGGTTTCTCCCAAAATGGTGTCGTAACCTATTTGCCTCCCAGATCTGTCAGTCATGAACTATCCTTATTGGATCTGCTTTTTAACGACACAACCAGACAGACAGAAGATGGTGGTCGATGTCCCATTAGGGTCGTCTGATCATTATCTGGTTCGTTCTACAGCCCCCTGTTGTGCCATTCGTTCACCAGCCTAGGGTATGCTAAGCAGCATAGCTTATGGGGATAGATTTATTCATCGCCAACCATAAAATAACCGTCGGTGGCCGCAGCCGCCATTGGTTCAATAAGGTCAGTGTAGACGCTGTGCGTGCTAAACAGTCTGCATATATGTAATTCATGGCATTCGGCTTAAATGTGTCAGGCTTCGAGTTTAATAGAGGAAAAGAAAAAACTTAATGCAACTTCGAGGCCCTACAAGAAGGCAAGAGGGAGCGGAGGCACAATATATCGGGAGAATAGGTCAAAAGCTGAATGGTTTTTTCACCGGGAGCCGTGCATTTTTGTCGCATGCAAAGCTGCGGAAGGTAAATTTGTCGGGTGTCCATTTCGCTATGTAAACCTGATTGCGTTAAAGACTCAGTACGAAAGACAAGGCCGACATTCTAGTCGAACTCTACGCCCAACTCAATGTTGGACAATTGGGAAGCTGCGACTCCAATAATCTCCTATTGTTGAAGTCCTATGCCACAAATTCGCATCACCCAGCGGGTGGTTGGGCGACAACTTATGCAGTTAAATGTGCACGAGTTGTTAGGGTCTGCGGCATCCCTACAGTGTTACTAAAAATATGCGCCCTTGAGCTAACCCTCGTCTTGATGCGCTGGTTTCGCCTTACCTACAAACAAAACTGTTTTAACTTCGTGGAAGGTAGCTCACGTTCTCCCTATTCTCAAAAAGGGTTACCAATCTGACCCTTCAATTTACAGGCCATGGCGATTATCTCTGAGACCGTCAAGAATAAGGGAGAGGCCCTTGCTGTCACCTGGATATCGCGCCAAAGGGCTTAGAACGCTTTTATCGAAGTTGTCATCTTACGGGTACCTGAGGGGATTTGCAAGAGGATGCAGCGGCGTAGAGTGGGTGGCGGCCGCCCGGGGCTAAGGACAATTTTGCCGCCCTCTTATTTAAATGGTTGAAATATTTTTATTATTTATTGTAAAATTTTGCCGCCCCCTAAGAAGTGCCACCGGGGCGGGCCGCCCCCACTACGCTACGCCACTGAGTGGATGTCGAGCTTCTGGGACTGCAGGAGCATTAAAGTCGTTATTGACGGCTGCTGCTACGATCTCTTGACCGAGGAATTGTTTCATTTATTGCCTAAAGCAGCATTTTACCGCACCATCCACAGCCATCACTGAATTCGAGTTCACCCATATAACCTGGGAACACTAAAGCCCACAACTGGTCGTTTCCAGAGATCTTTTGTCCCTCGGGAAATAAAATTATGGAATGAGCTCTCCTACGTGGCGTTGCCTTAGTAATAGTCCTCTTCAAGAGAGGCTTAAAAAGAGTTCCATGAAAAGCAGCGGCAAGACTGTGTAAATGGCATTGCCGATGTCCATGGGTGATGTGACCGTTTAACTTCAGGTGGCCTATCTGCTCATGTGTCTTAGAATTAGAAGCAATAAAAAATATTATGATGAAAACACTTAAATAAAAAATATAACAATTGAAATAGTACGAAGAACATAGATAAATGATTAGTGTCGCTGTCGAGCGTAGCGAGACCAATCATTTATCTATGACGAAGAACATATTATGTCATAAAAAAAATATGACATAATATATGACATTCATTTATAAATGACATTGCATTTATCGACATGGATACTTTATTGGTTAATAGCATGTGTAGATACAGATGCGCCCCCCCTGAAAATAATCCTGATCCTCCATGATGTGAATGACCTGGTGTCAATAAATAACGACTATTACATAATATTGTTAGGGCCGGATTTAAAGGTATGAAGGCCCTGGAGCAACTAAGGAGTGGAGGTCCCATTAAGAAAGAAAGAAAAGGTAGACACCCGTTGCTCACTTACTATTTACACCCATATTATGGTTATAATATGGTTGACGACCCGTCGAAATTTGGTTTTTACAGCTGTTGTGGAGGATCTGGGCCGCAGTCCAGCCTGCACTGCCTTAAATACGACCCTGGTCTTATTGTTTTTGTCTTATTTTACTAATTGGATCAAATTACGAATCCGGTCATGGAAATCAGAAAGGTTTTAGATACAAAAAAGGCACAACCACCAAACTCTCTTTTGACGACCTCCGCCGATTGGTTTGTACACCAGGTTTCAAGTTGCCGCCTACTCGAGAGGTCTCCTATATCCCGGATTCCAATTCCGGTGGGGGCAGATGTTTGTGTGATGAATACGAGCAATTTGTACTCCAGCCATGGATGTTTAATATCTATATAATTATATTACGGTATCAGTATATGTATTCTGCCCGTTACTCTAGTATCTCATAACACAAGCCTACAGTGCTTACTTTGGGGCTAGGCCAATTGGTGTGAGTGTTAAAAAATATTAATTTTCATTATTTATTTAACTTGTTTTGTTTCTATTGTCTTGACCAGGATTCGATTTAGGGAACCTTTGCGATTGGGTATGTTAAAACTCGCTGCAACAATGTATTTCCTATCTAAGCAGGTATGAATGAATAAATGATTTCTAAGGCTTTAAAAAGAGGAGAGTCGAAGCCGCAACTGGACAGGCACCTACACTGCAAATAATAAAATCTCACTATAGTAAGTGTGTAATAAAACCGGTCATGTTCGTATTGTTCTTTCACTACGCGGTCTCAGTGTGGATTAGTGAGTACTAACGATTACAATTATAGTCGGGACTAACGGCTTAACGAACCCTCCTAAACACGGAGGAACTCGAGATAATGTTTTTGGTAACCTATCAAATGAGCGACCAATGCGAAAGTTACTTAGCTTGTAAGATCGCAGCCTGACCGCGCTAACGACCTGCGCCATCGAGTTCATCAATCGCAATCGTATCTTCACCGTCTAGTAGGTGAATTTTTTTCGTAAAAACTTTGACGATGGCAATCAACGATATCAAATACCCAGTATTTAATATCTTTTATGGCAATACGATTACGGATCTGTCAAAGTTCGTGCTTGGGATACTGCTTGGACCTTTCGGATACCGAACCCTGAGGATCTCTGTAACAACCGCAATCTTTAGTCAACGTTAATCTACACTGGATCCGCGCGGTGGGTTAACGGTCGTTCGTCCTATGTGTTTCTATCCATAAAAAAGGTCTGTGTATTAGGCTGATATATGAGCTTAGGTACTCACTTTTTGATAAACATCATTGTAGTTCGCCGTGATGCAGTTGTTGGGATCAAGGCAGCAAGAGATGGGGATCACTCTTTGCGGTGAGAGCCGGATCCAGTCGGTGTAGTTGGAGACACCGCAACAATGTAACTAACCAATTTCAAAATAATTTATAAAACATAGGGAAAAAGCATTAAGGCTTTTATGCAAGGTCCAAAACGGTGTGAGTGGATATAGTTAATAAGTAGGTACAAATTGCACCTGTGCTTTTTATTCACATAGGTACATCATATTGGACCTTTCTTCTGGTGTTTTACAAAAATAAATCTGTTTTGCTTCTGAGCTAAGCCGCGGACTAACGGGACAGCTTGGGAAAACAATGACAATTCCGAAGTCAACAAGGATCCCTTAAAGCGCTTGTTAATGAGATGATTTCTGTACTCAGGTTTAGGCACGGTTTTAAACCATGTCTACGTCCAGTCGTCAGGTATGGGACAACGACGCTAGCGACGGTTTGGGGTCAGTACCCAGTGTACTAAACCGTACTCGTGAATAAGCTTAATCGTCACCAGCCCAGGTAGAAGTCGTCTCGTTAATAAGCTATATGTTAACCGTGCTTTTTATTCAAATAGGTACATCATATTCGACCTTTTTTCTTGTGTTTTACAAATAACTCTATTTTGCTTCTGAGCTAAGCTGCGGACGGACGAGACAGCTTGGGAAAACAATGACAGTTCCATAGTCAACAGGATCCCTAAGGGCGCTTGTTAACGAGATGATTTCTGTACTCAGGTTTAGGCACGGTTTTAATTTTAAACCATGTCTCCTTCCGGTCGTCAGATATGGGACAACGATGCTAGCGACAGTTTGGGGTCGGTACAAATGTACTAAACCGTGCTTGTGAACAAACTCAATCGTCTCCAGCCCGGGTAGAAATCGTCTCGTTAAGAAGCTATACGAGTATGTTAACAGTTCACTATTGTCGCAAAACATGCGTGTATTTTATTCAAGTAAATAAAAGCAAAAACTAATTGTTTTCCCATTTCAGTTTCTCTCCTTTGGCTGAACGCACAAACCGTACTTGCCACAAAAAAGAAAAAAAAAACCTCCTCTCACATTACAATATATGGAGTGAGTAGCTCAGGATATTTTTGTTATACCTATTTACTTATGAGAAAATTTAGCACCTACCTACATAATTAAGTTTTGACGTGACAACGTCTTAAATTAGGTTGCGGCTGGGAGTCACTTATGAAAAAGTGTAACGCTCGGTAACGTTACGATGAGTCTCTCGTGTTAAGTTTAAGTTTACATGTACAATGTTTTAGTAAACAAAATATATGTCTATAGTTAAAATTTGTGCAATTCTTATTTTCATTCAATTCCTTGTTCCTATTGTGCAATTTAATTATATTCATATCAATAAATATTCTACCGAGAAAAAGACGTTGTCACGTAAAATCTTCGCCCGTAAAACCGACTTTACAGGCAACCATTTTTTTGTTGACATAAAGTTCTCACCGTTGACTGTGCGAATTTAAAGTTGTCTTTGTTAGGGTTATACGAGATGAGGGTTTGGGTGAGCCCGTCGTGCAGACCCTTGGCGAATGTGTCGCGGTAGCAGGCCACCGAGGCGCCCACACCCGCGTCCATCATGACGATGCATGCCAGGAATCCACCGTACTGAACATAATGGAAATACATAATATAAAAAAAAGGAACGTATGAAATAGGCATTATTTATTCTGGCTCGATTATCTAAACCTAAAATTAAAACTTAACGATAGTATGTAACTATATCCTTATCATACTGTATAGATTATAAAAGAGGTAAAAGTTTAGAGAATCATGCCTGTATTAGAACCCGTCGCAATGAAAATGTAGATTACGCCGTATTACATTTTGCCTAGTTTGTGAGAAAGACGACGTTTTGTATTAAGTATGACAAGTTAGCAATACGCTGAATTATAAAATTTGATTTGCAGACGAGCAACGCGAAACTTTCTGGGTAGATCCATATTTGGGAGTAGGTACATCAACAATCTGGTGCGGCTGCGGGTAGCTGGATGCGAACACCGCAGGACCGATCAGTAATGGAGGTCCTTGGGGTTGGAGAAGGTATGGGAATGCTGAGCAATGGGTGACGTATGGCTGAGATGACGATGACGAGGTAATCTACTTGCTTACAAATACATAGGTGTAAATGTGAAAGTTTATAATTAAATAGCAATCATCGTCGTTGGTCATGCAAATGGTTTTGCATGAACGAGCACCATAATCTTATGTGTTTTCACGATAATCACTTTCCATTTGAATGTCTTTCTTCATTTGATTTGAGTGTTTCTCTTTTTCAATAGTTATCTATCTACACGGAAAGGTACTAATAACCCTTCCGTGTGCTACAAGCTCCTGGTCTAAAAGAGAAAAAAAATAAGAGACGAAATTCGTTTAAGGAGTTTGTTTTCTGTTTTTTTTTTATTTACAATGACTTTTTATATGCCAGCTCCACACTTGTGCGGTAAAGCTCTGCGAACAAGCGTATTCGTGAATTGTTTACGCGGCTTCACGTGCGTTCGATGTAGAGTCCACTGATACGAATTCACGGCGCAAATTCACACCATTTCATGGCACAAGAACCAGTGTGGCTGGCAATAAAGCTTCGTATGCTCTACTTTAATGGTAAATTTATTTCAAAGCTAGCGGATCCGACAGATGTTGTTCTGTCCAAAAGAAAACATACAAAATAATCCTGAAACCCTACTATAGCACAATCTATATCGGATTGAGATGTACGTAATTTAAGTATTCTTGAATTTTCTGATTTTCTGCGCAACATTTTTTTTTCGTGAGCCCTTTACAATGTATTAGAAAACTAACAGCAAGATTTTTATTTAAAACTACCGCTGTAAGCGCCAAAAATATTGTAGTGCTACCTGGCCAAACTCGAATATTTAGTAAGATCCTCGCATCACAACGCGGTGGCCACTCCGCATTTTACGCTTTCACAGTAAGTGCTCGTTTCAATCAAGAATACTGACCTCTAGCTTCGCCAGTCTTTAGTTACTTACAATGTACAGGTCGGTTTCTTCATTACCGTGCAAGAATAGTGACTATCTATCTATTTAAATAGTTACCACAGCCTTATCTTCAATCTTTTATTGAAACACTCACTATGTACAGTAGCACCGGCTGCCCCTTGATGATGCAGGTGAAGGCGCTGGAGCTGACCAGGACTATTAGGCCGGCGATGCCGACGAACACGTGCGGCGCTGTCCCCGAGAACTCCAGTGACAGTTCTATGTACGTGTGCAGGTCGGTTTCTGCCCACAGCCCCAGCGTCAACAGGAGTACTCCGGACACCTTAAACCAAATCAAATTCAAAGTTCAAAGATAATATTAAAATTCAAAGTTCAAAGACAATATTAAAATTCAAAGATAATAATTTTAACATAATAAAAAAATAAGGAGTAGGCACCTAAATTATAACAAGCGGGTGAACGCGACTTCGTCTGCCTTGAAACATTGGTTTTCCATACGATTTTCTTCCATTGGCTTTTCTCGGTAAGTACTCAAACTATCGCTATACCAACTTTCACGTAAATCGGATTTGCGGTTTACAGGTAACAGACAGACAGACACACTTTTGCATTTGTAATATTAGTATACTTAGATTTAATAGGTTATTTTTTTCAGAAGTTGATTATATGAATATCTTATTTTTTCTTTACATACACTAAATGCACATCACTAACTGCGTATTCGATAAAGAAAAAGATTGGAATTTCCCGCTTGTATCAATAAAAGCTACCGTACGTAAGCGCACCTACGAGTACTTACCCAAAACACAACATTGAAAACGAATAGCAATGTTTTCAAGCAAGCAATCACTGCGACGTTTTTGAACTGATTACCCATTGTTAATACTGACGGATATTTATAAAATTATATGTCATTTGTTTCCATGATTAACTAGATATTATTTAAGTGCAATGTATTCTGCGTGTAGCAGCGAACTTCACTGCTTCTGGCAGTAAGCTGACAGGGTGGAAAACAGACGTCACCTACTGAGCATGCGCTTCAAAATCGGCGTCTATTTCGTTTGTTCACATTTTACACTTCCACAGTCATATTGTGTATGAAAATATTTGCATACCGTTGAGAGGTAGAATATGCTGAACTTAAACAATGTATTAAGGATATCTGAATGTAAGGTGTAGCACATTCCTATAAATAAAGTCTATCCTATTCGAATCAAATAAGCCAGACAAGATAAGACACTTGCACTTTTAATACAGCATGTAAGTTTAATTATTTATTTGGTAAGTCTGATCGTACCCTATGTCTATGGCGGCAAGCACCAAAGTCGCTAACGGCGACCAATCAGAAAGCTATATACTATTTTTCGTAAATTTAAATAACGTAAAATTAAACTCTGTTCTGGGATTAATAATAATAATAATAAACTTTATTTCTCTGGGATTAGTCACGGTACTTAGAATTTTACGTTGATAGGCTTAAAATTTTAAGTTTATCAATTTACCGCGAGACGTCGTAAATTGATTAATTTACAAAAATTGTCCCCGTAAGATAATACATTTTATGTCTCATTTATATTCTTACGAACATTGATAAAACTAGGAAATTGATAAACCTGCGGAATGTATTATATTACGGTGACATATACACATTAAGCTGAAAGTGACTCTTTTCTGCACGTGTGCAAAAATAGTACATTATTCACCGAGAGGAGAAAGAGACCGATTACCAACGAGGGTTTAGTTTCCAAGGGCCTTAATACACCCGAATTGGGAAAAGCACTTTCTTTTGAGGGATGCATAGTGCTTTAAACTATATCTACGAGTAAATAAAAGACAAAAATCTGTAATTTAAATTAAAGTTGTTACGGTTACTAAACTTTTGTCTGGGAGCTTTATATTGGTTTCTTGATTACATGGGTAATAAGGTTCTCAATGACTGCTTATGTAGTTTTTTTTAATTATGGCGGTGTCAATAAATCTTCATTATCAGTAATATACGCAGTCTCCAGTAGATAGGAAAACTCAGTTAAAATAAAGAACATTTTTTGCAGAATTTATGTTCAAAAAATAAATAGCATAATGTAAAAAAAAAATGATCGAAAAATCTGCAAAATCATACTAAACACTTGCTTTTCAGAACAAAAATTAAAAAATAACAGCACGTTAGCGTATTATTTGATAACAAGTTAACCTTCACCGTTTATATGGAATACAGGAATAAATATGTCACAAAGAGAGCTAGTCGTATGCTCGGTTTTTTAATTCGTAACGCGGAGGTGTTCAGAAATAATAATGTCAAGATTCTCCTCTACTACAGTTTGGTACGTAGTCTGTAGGAGTACTGTAGCGTGGTGTGGAGGTCTCATTTTGCTGTTCATTCTTTGAAGATGGAACGCGTGCAGAAACTTTTTGTCTCAAGTTTGGCATTTTGGAACAACATTTCAAGAAAAACGCGTTCCTTTAAAGACAGACTGATCGTTTTTTCAAGATGATTTCACTTGAAAATCGCAGAGATTTATTGGGCAAATCATTTATTTTTAAAATTCTCCGAAATAAGATTAATTGTCCGCAACTGCTACAGAGATTTAGATTTCGCATCCCAAGGAAAATTCTACGTGCTCCCACTCCGTTTTGTCCTGCCTTACGCAAATCAATGAAATTTTCGCGCCACCAAATTCAAATTTAGAACACAGGTGGCCAAAGATACGAATTTAAAAATGACATATATATTTTTTAAATTTGAACTTTTTAAATAGCAGTGGCTAGTTACTTATCATCCCGCCCTCGTATGTACATTTGTTTTTCTTTTTGCATGTGGTGTTCACCTTTAAAATTTGTTATACTTAGCCCATATCCAACTATGTTATTATATTTCTATTTGCTTGTAATTGTATAAACAAATACTGGTATAATATCCTAATAAAAAAATTACCTCTATAGTTTGAACTGTGGAACTGAGATACGATAGTAGCAATTTTTGCGCCGCTGCTTCGGTTCCATAGTGATTTAATTTTAACACCGGCGTCTGGTGCTCGTCAATATTAAGAATCAGTGCCACATTGAGGTACAGGCAGGCGGCAGGTGGCATTCGTAATTACCTTTTACGCTCATGTGTCATACAACATTTTTCAAGGTATTTTGGAGAGGAAATAAAATAAAAATATAATCCATTTATCAAAATTACCTACACCTATTAATATATTCATTACTGTCGTGTAATTTAAAAATGGAACTATCTTTTATTACGAAACATAGAAACCAAAGACTTATCAAAGATTTTATTTAAATTTCGGACTGACCTGCAAATAGAAAGATTGAATAAAAAACCAATTAAAGGACACAATGCTGCGTGACGCAGGACGTGGCGCAAGGCTCAAAATTAAAAAAAAATACTTTGTACGAAGTAATAAAAGAAGAAGTGAAAATGAATCAGAAAGGAGGTCATTACTGTTGTACTACCAAGCGGCTTTTTTTAAATGGCTTCGCACGGCTTGTGCATTTCGCCAATGTCAGATGTTAAAATGTTTACAAATTCTTTAGCACTCGTGGTGGTCAAAGTAATAAATCAAGTCAAAGTAAGTGGCAGTCAAGTCAATCCCCCTTTCCCTATGTTTCAGTAAATGTGTGGGGATTTACTGGAACCTCCCCGTGGACTTCTTGAGTGAACGTCCATAGACACTTCTTCACGACACACTTGTTGTAGTCTATGGTTAAAATAAAAATAGATTTGTCTATGTCGAGGGCCGCTGGCTCTCTTCCCTGGTATCCACCATTACTGTAAGCTGTTAACATGTGAGTGTGCAATAAAAATATTAACAACGCCCCAATAATCTTTCATTCAAGAATCTACATAACGAACGCAAAAGATGGTGTCATAAGTGCAGAAAATTGAAAAAGTCCCAAGTAAGTCGAATCTTTGCTATCAAAGTCAACTCTGTCATGGCGGACAAAGCGTTCATTGTCTCCTTGAAACCGCTATGCGTACAAAATGGCGAAAACGCAGCCGAGATATGGAAAAAATGGAAACTTCGTTTTGAAATATTTAAGGATGCTAATGAAATTGCAAAATTTTCAACAGTTTTAATCTTGACAGAACGCAAACCAAATTAGAAGACGTGTTGAAAAAATTTGACGAAAAATTCAGTCCTCACACTAATATTACTGTGGAAAAATATAATTTTTTACTAGAATGCAAAAACCTGACGAATCCCTGGATGAATATTTAACAATTATTAATAATTTAGCAACCACATGTGACTTTGAAAATTTAAAACTTTAAAATTGATAAAGAACATGCTCATCATAGGTATGAAAAATACATACATTAAAGAAAGATTACTACAAGAGGAAGGCCTGACCGTTGAATCCACTATGAAGATTGCAAAAAGCCTCGAGCTATCTCAGGAACGTTCTAGCAAATTGATGAGACAGGATACAAAAAACGAAATGGTGCAGGGAGTTAAAGAGCAACCACAGAGATACAGGTCAAGGTCAAGATCGAAAATACCAGATCGCTCAAGATCAAATCAAAGACAGAACTACCGTAACCAGTCGACACGGACTAGGAGTAAGTCAAGCACAAGAAATTGTACAAGATGTGGCCAGATACATAAATATAAATGCCCAGCACAGGACAAAGTGTGCAACATTTGTAAGAAGACCGGACATTTCGCTTACTATTGCTTTTTCAGAAAGGATAAGTTGAACAATCATAAAGTGAGTAATATATCATATGAAAAGTCAGAAACCGATCGTTTAGTAATCAAATCTATTCAAAATAATAATTGTAAAATAGATGATTGGCAAATTAATATTTACTGTAATAATTATAAGCTCAAATGTCAAATCGATACAGGAGCAGATACAAATGTCATAAGTAAGAAAACATTAGACAAAATTATGACTTGTTCTCACTCTAAAATTAATATTTCAAAGACAAATAATGTTATAATAAATAAACTGTTTTCTTTTTCAGGAGAATTAATGCCAAATTTAGGGACATCTGTATTAAATTGTGTACTTGAAAATGGAATAACCACAAAATTGTATTTTGTTGTTGTTGAATGCGATTGTAAAACAATAATTGGCTGGAATTCATGCGAAAATCTGGATATTGTGTCGCGACCCTCTTGGGGGCGGGGCTGCCAATGCAGCCCATATCCGTGATACAAACGTATCCACCGTGGATCGCGAGATTTTGACGATAGACACGTGACAAAGGGAGAATCGAGAGACGAAGGGTGATTACTTACCACAGATTATATTGTATGTACCTTCAAGCACCAGCGAATGTCCGTCCATGCCTCTCATCACTTTCTTACTCCATCTGTAAGTATAAATAAAATTATGACACCACTGCGTGGTGCCACTAAGTCCTGGAGTTACACCATCACCACGGTATGATTCCAGGATTCATAGAACACATAAATATTGTCATAAATGAGTATCAAGATCATCTATATGTCAATTACCCATGTTAACTCAACAATCTACTTTAGCTGTCTAAACGATGCGGAGATTTCCTAACATGACTTTATGCCATGTGTCCTACGCTCCCGCAGAGCGATGTGAGCATGAGAGCCAAAGCCGTCGCCTGCTCCCCACGCAACCCCTGCATGTGTGCGCCCACATGCTAGAGTCGCGTCGCCCACTTCTTATGGCAATACTATGGAACGTCTCCCATCTGGCTCAGCCACTATTCCAGCTCCGTCCAGACATAGCGCTAAGCATGCCATAACACTCTCTCTTGTGGTCTTTCGGTAGGGTACTCTAGGACTTGCCTCCTGCAGAAGCACAAGCCCTCATATTTTTATATTGTTATGATTATGTCAATGCCACAGGCGTTTCACGCCCTTACGCCGGTGTGAGAGAGTATCTTTTTACCTCTTTTTATATTGTTATGATTATGTCAATGCCACAGGCGTTTCACGCCCTTACGCCGGTGTGAGAGAGTATCTTTTTACCGTGCTGGTAAACACAGGTACAT